TTCGCCTCCAGGTCGAATCCGTAATTCAGGCCTGGCAGCCATGGCTCAAGCACGACTTTACTGCACTGGACCATCCTCAAGCCCAGAGTTCCAAATACGTCATTGTAATGTGCCACTTTCCGTATGAGCAGAGGCTGAAACGTATGAAAATATTCAGTGGGCGATATCGCCGAATAAGAAGCGACTTGATTATCGCATACTTGTTTTTACACCAGTCAAACCATGTGTGCCGCTCTGTACTGCATCACAGCAGTAACACCAAATTTAAAGGCCACTCCTTGAAATCAGCAGAACAGTACAGCAGTGTGGCGTGGCGTAAAATTTTCTTTTTCATTCGTGTGTATCAACCGTGGAACCCTCTCTCCGAAGCGGTTTTTTCGGCACCCAATCTAGATATACTCAAAATTCGATTGAATTACGCACTTCTCCACTTATATTTCCTTACTTAATGCTACTTTCCATTCTACTCCCGGGAAACACCTTGGATTTATTTTCTGCCCATTGAAGTTATGAAAACACTTGGCGTGTAGGGCTAGTGCATTACTTACGATAAGTACATTCTTTTGACAGCTGAACTAATAACTGCATTATTTTTAGTGGTTTTTCGATAACCCACCAGACTACCCAACGGGGATTGTAAAACAGTGCTTATTAATCCGTGTAAAATCTCTGTTCAATGTTCATTGCAAAGTCGCCGGCACCTACACGGGATCGAACGCGTGATCCTGTTGATGTCAAAGCAGGTACCCTATCCATTCTGTCCCTGGCCTTGGTCACCTTCCTGAAAATCGTCTGGTGGAGGTATCGACTAGATTCGGCTCTGGCCTTCGGACATGGATAGTCTGGAATGCTTATTATCCCTTTAGCACTAAAATGTCTTATTCGGGTGAAGGGAAAATCCAGTTTTACTTTCACTCAGCCTCCGTAGTATGGTCTGTACCCAAACGTGACCGACCATTTCTGTTGGTTGATTTGAACGCGCGCTTCTAGCGTTATTCCACATTGCGCGCGAGCTTACCCGTGTTCCATATTACAGGCCTGACCATCGGAAACGGTTTCCGTACAATCGCATTATGTACCACCTGTGACCTGACTATCATATACACTGCAATACCAGGTTTCAGTGGTAATGCCACATCGCCAGACGTACGGAGTGATCATCTACAGTTAAGCAATTGAGTTACTGTGCATCGGCGGGAGATATGTAAAGTACGCACAACGCATGTACTTCGGAGCGATGAAGGTGAACCCAATAACAAACTTTTTCCATGGACAGACATACTCCTTTTCTACTGTGAGCCAGCAACATTATTACGTCCTTTCTCTAAGTTGTGTTGGGAGTAGAAGTGAACTGAGGAGCGATCTGATGATACGTTTCGGCGAACTGGGGTTGACTATTACAGTTACTGGCATTTGGCACCAATTGAAGGGCACGGGATCACTGATTTTTGTTTGGTTAGGACAATGTGACCACTGATACATTTGTTTCCGCGGTAAAAACATTTATTGCACACAAGGAGGACCCGAGAAATGAGCAAAAGGCAAGTTATTCATGGTGCCTCTGCAGCTAACTGCTTCGTCCCACACACCAAAAGTGCGTGGTTGGTGGCGAAGTTGAATCAGATGAAATATGCTACACAAAGCTGTTGTCTTCCAGTTCGCCCTATTCCTCAGTTTTACTTGGTTCAAGTGCTTACCATTGGCCAGTAGACCCACCGGTCCACCAACATTGCGGACACACAGGTTGATTTCTCCTTTAAGGCTTATCTTCACTCACAATATCTCAACTCGCTTTTCCTTGCCTCCGTTACTACCATGTCTTATTTGAATCCAAATAAATTGGTCGATTATTCCCGCAAATTCGATTGGCTGTCTCCTCGGTCATCAGCTCAGTTTTGCCCGTTTCCACACTCTCCATTCGCTAATAGAGCCACTGACACATTCGTGTTGGTCACCCAAGTCCTCTCACATAAACTTCCACCCACCTTGGCCATCAGTATCTTTCTTTAGTTGTGCTTGGCATTGGCACCTGCCTGTAAAACGACCGATGCGTCGGTAGACCCTTCTCTTTTATCTTGGACATTTAGTTGAGCTACTTCAAGTCCCAACAACTAGCATGCATAATTTCCGTACACTGTCGGCCGAGCAGGTAGACGATCAGACGAGCCAGACGGACTGGTCTTTACCACAGGATTCATCTATTGAAACCTGTTAGACTATCATTAAAGAGGGACTGAAATCGTTGTACGCCCGATTTGTACCCTTCAAATTTCGGAAAGTTGGGCCAATCAAACCACGTTGGTTCGACAAAGAGTACAACAAACTGGCCCGACGACGACGCCGACTATGGAACAAGTTCGTGTTATCTGGCTTTGATGAGGACTACAATGCGTATATGGTACAGTGAAATCGCTGCAACGACGCGAACACAAGAAAACGCAGAAGCTTCGAAGAGGAGCTTGCAGCCGCCGCAAAAACTGCTCCCAAGAGGATCTTTGCATACGTGAAACGGCGCCTGAGGCCTGTATCCAATGTCCCAGTGTTAGAAGGCTCCGATGGGCATCCCCTAACCTCGAGTACAGATCGTGCGTCCGCAATGGCGACGCACTTCGCCTCCGTATTTGCAAGTGACCAGGTGTCTAACGAGTTCGACGAGTACCGCACCAGCCGAACTTAACAGCCTGGACTGCAATATTGAGGATGTGCGCAAGCTTCTAGCAAATCTTGACGGGACAAAGCCTGCTGGACCAGATGGTATACACCCACTGATCCTCAAATCCCTATCGGCCATCATCGCGCCTTCTGTAACTGAACTGTTTAACAGATCCCTATCCACTGGACTGTTACCAGTCGACTGGTAATGTTCCGTCGTAAAGCCTATACCGAAAGGTGGTAACCCAAGTAAAGTGGATAACTACCGGCCGATCTGTCTGACTGCTGTTTTGGCAAAGACGCTCGAGAAGATCGTGAAGAACCTTCTACAGCTTCTCGAGTCGAAAAACCTGTTGACCTCCGCACAGCATGGTTTCATGAAAGGTCGCTCGTGCATCACCAACCTACTGTTGACAAGGCAGGAGTGGTTACAAGCGATGAACCAAGGCCATTCAGTCGATGTCATTTACATTGACTTCAGTAAGGCTTTTGACAAGGTTAACCATGCAGTGCTCCTTGACAGGCTGAGGATGTACGGTGTTGGTGGTTCGCTACACAAATGGATCAGAAATTTCCTTGTGGATCGGAAGTGGAGAGTCCAGGTGAACAACCATCTAACAGACTGGTATCCATCGAGCAACGGCGTTCCCCAAGGCACTGTACTGGGGCCGATATTGTTTCTGATCCATGTAAACGATGTGCCTAAGCTACTCCAATCACCATGTGCGTTGTTCGCAGATGACTTGAAGGTGTGGAGAGTAATCCGCACACTCAATGATTGTGATTTACTTCAGCAGGATCTCGACAGCCTCTCAACATTGTCTGCAGATGTCAACCTTCCGATCAACCCTGCTAAGTCGCAATTCATGAGGTTGGGTAAGTGTGAGCACAGCCGAACGTACACAGTGGCTGGTCAACCGCTGCATCCAGCGTCTTTCGTGCGCGACCTCGGTGTGCTCTCACGCTGCGACCTAAACTCCATTGGCAACACGAATAGGCTGTACCAAAACAGCTTTCGGATGTTTTGGACGCTCAGGCGCAGCTTCAGCACTTGGTCCGAAGAGACTACCACTCGCCTCTTCGTCTCGATAATGCGACCAATGCTAGAGTACGGCTCTCCAGCATATTGTCCCATCACGCTGGGCGAGGTAGAGAAGCTTGAGCGAGTGCAGCATGTAGCCACTAGGCTGATTCCCAACTTACGAGGTATGCCATATGAAGACCGATGTGAGAAACTAGGACTGTACACCCTAGCATATCGTCGGATGAGGGTTGACCTAATCATGACGCACCGGATATTACATCTGAGTGAGTACCCCATGTTGAGACAACTGCTTCATCTGCGCACACCAAGCAGCACGCGAGGACACCGGTACAAACTTATCGTACCGCAGTTGAAGCGGGTAGCTCACCAACTCTGTTTCGAACGTAGAGTGGTGAATACCTGGAACAAACTGCCGCAGCCGGTAATAGAGGCCAATTCAGTGGCCGAATTTAAGAAGCTTCTAGACAAACACTTCGCAGAGGCAAAATATAAAGAGCGAAACGATAATTAATACGTTAATGTCCAAGAGCGACAACTGATGCAGCTACACAGAGTATGCTCTACTCGCTGCTTCTAATCAGTATCAGTATCAGTATCATATACTGACAACATTTTGTAAACCATTTTCTTGTCTCTCCTGTCATCTATCTACCAATTCATGGCTCCATCATAATCATAAATTCTACGAAGACACCGAAATGGAGCGGTGGTGCTAGCTTGAACATCAGAATAAAAAGAAAAAGAAGCGCTTGCCAGTTTCCCAGTTTTCCTCATGAATAGATTAAAAGGAACAATAAACACTGCTTTACAACTAGCAAAAGTGTGATTGCTTGGCAAGTCCCGAAAAATGCTTGGCATTTTTGAAAATCCTCACAGCAGCACTTGAAATGTCAAAACGAAGGGTGCCCATGAGTTAAAGGATCTGTTTCATCTCTCTTAAAAATGAGGCGGAAAACACTTTGGGTCATTGATGGATAATACCAACACCACCACGCCCAGTTGCTAAGGCCATCTCAGATCCAGAGGAATACAAGTAAAACCTGTCGTCAGTTTCTGAAACTGCACAAAATACCACTCGGAGAGATCACCAGAAAATGGTAGCCACACAATATAACCGGTTTATATGTCGATGAGATTTCTTTTTATTTCCTTTGGACCGTCATCCCCACACGCAGCTCGTTTCTCCACATTACAAGTAGTTAAAAATCTCAAGTATACACTCAAACGCTTAAATGACTGCATATAGCCTTCTCTAGCTGCGCATCAACGCATAACAATCAATCAATGCGCTCAGCTCTAGTTTATGGTTAGTCCACAAAAGACTAAAGTTTGTAATTAGCTCTACTCTATTTCCCGAGATATCCACGCTAGTCTATACACAATCTAGACTGATTCGGTAAAATTGCGCTCTTCAGTGTCAAAGTTTTACCGTGCGTCAACTTTACCCAGCACAGTTTGATCCGGCTAAATTTTTCATATTTAGTGGTTACATTCTAGCGGAATTTTTGCCTACGGATCGTGATTCCTACAACCCAAGCTGATTTGACACTTTGAGAGACCACTTTTCCACGTGAAACATTGTCTTTCATAGGTCACATTACTGCGAAATTGCATTTCGTAAAGGATCCTCCGCGTTATCTGGTGATCCAAAATTTACTGCCACAAGATCATTCCTAAGGAAGCTAGGACCTAATTTGTGTTCTTTGATTACGTTCGCCCATTGACAACAGCCGCTGGCATCCACCCAATAAAAAACACCTTAAAGAGCCTAATCCTATAGGAACCACAGTCAATCGATCAAGAAGGCAAAATGCGCGTGTGCGTTATTTTCGTGACAAACCCACCAACAATAACCGAGGTCCACTGTGCGACTGTGGCAGCCAACTTGAGCAATGCCCACCCGCACCATCACGTGATCGAACAGGGGAAGTGTTCGGTTGCGACAATCGCGAGCACTGATACATGGTCCCACTTAGCACAAATGCGGAGAATCGAAAGGCACCTGCGTGGTCAGGGCTGGTTTGACTTGCTCAAACTGCGGCTTCGCATTACATGATAGATGGTGGCGTAAGTCAGGTTGAAGTAAAGAGATGCAAGAGTGTGGCTGATGCGCTCTGGTTTTGCTGGGTATGTAGAGCTGCTCCAACTTGCAACTGTATGGTTGTGCTTATGGGAAACGGCAACAACTTAACCGAAACAATTAAGTCGATGGCGAGTCTCAGTGCCTCGCCTTTGGAAGCAAAGGAATTCGAGCCTGGTCCCCCGCAACCACACCTGAGCCGCGTCCCTAGGCCAAGGCATAAAGTCAGCCCTGCAAACCATCCCACAATATCCGTGACACTTGCTCTGACATATCCTAATCCCATTGATCTGGCAACTAACAGGCACCTGACTGCCATTACCCCACTCATGGACGTTTCACCTAGAGATTCAGGTATGACACCGACAGCTCAAAAAAGGAAGGCAATCCGTTGCAGAGAAAAAACAAATACTTACTGATCGGTTGCCTCGATAAACACATCGGGAGTGACACAGATAGATTTTATCTTCTGTACCGGGCAACTGCGGGACGACTCAGCTTCCACCGTCAACTCCAGCGGCGCCTTCTGAACAGCCAGCCTTACTAGCAACAACTCTTAAATCGACATTCGCTAGACAAAATCACAGTGCATTATCTCTCATGCGCACTAAGGTTCCCGAGTCCAAATCTGACACAATAAAAGGCAAGCTGCTAGATGATCGCAACTCGTGAAATTCCATTTGCAATGCGATTGATATATGGGTTGAGCCCACCATGCTGACACACGTGACGCGGCACCTGGACTCAGTGCATTATAGCGAACCTAGAATTTTTTGAGTAACGCTGAACTCAGCAGATGAGATAGACGCTGTCATCCTCTCAGCATTCCGTCTTTGCAGCTCACCGAGGGTGGTGCGCATGTTACCCGAACTTCCTTGGATAGTCGCCCATAAAAAGCGGACAACAGAGGCGGCCGTCCTAAATGCCATAGCAAAAAGCCCTATTTGTCCACGGTGTTCCCGAGTTTTCGGATTCTCCTGATCACAAGGCGCAAACAAATAACCGGGAGAAGTGTGGTTATCCGCGAAAAGTTAGGAAAAAGGTTATTGTTAGGCCGTTGACAAGAATTGCTTTGTCTCCCAAATACAAGGGCTGTGTTCCAACATTAATAAAAGTAATGTTAACTCCGAGGGAATGACTAAAGTCCTAGTGAATAACTAGTCAAAGTTTCGCGCCAGATTGTCTACTGAAATCTGGCTATAGGTAGCACGCGCATGACCACGAGACGTCTGCACTTCTATGGAACTTGCAGACGCCGTAAATTCTTTGTCTCCACCGTCCTGCGGAGAGGTCAACAACAGAACCTACGGACCACAACAGGACAGACCGAGGCACTAGTGCATATCCTGAGCTGAAACACTCTGTGAAACCATGCAGCTTGACGGAAATTCAGAGACCGACGACCGACCAAAAAAACGACTAAACTCCGGCTCCTTAGCGGTCGGTTTAAAAACAAACACAAATTCGACATCCATCAGCGCACTCCTTACAACCAAAACGCTATCCTGTTTCTACATAAACGCCTAAGGCCTTCTTAGTAAGCTGGACGAACTTAGGGAAATCTATGCCTCACAACCGCGTGACCTCATCGTGATTGCCGAGACCTGGTTAATCCTTGAGATGCGATCTTAACACGATTTAAAGCTGGTCAGTTCAGAATGCCCTGCCATACAAGCTAGACAAATGTGGCTTTGTCCTAATGCGCCAAAAACATTACTGACCGTAGTTGCTTGGTGCACACGTATTGATCAGCTCCCAGTAACGTGATCTCAACAGTTTAAAACAGAATGAAGTAGCTACGAAAATAGGCAACTAGCACGTCAGTCTGCTGCGTAAGGCATTCGTGAGGTTTGACCCATCAATCTTCCCAATGAGGTTCAATTCTTAAGTGCTGCTTCACGTTGAATACGTTATCCAAGTTTGGTAATCTTGGTTGAAGCGTGAGGTAGAGGCATCAGAGACACCACAACGAAGGGTGACAAAGAATGCTAATGGCCTATGCAAGTACTCTTAAAAGCGAAGGCTGAAGTACTCACAGTCTGTGTGT